TACATAAAAACAAACAGCCAAAGGTAAACAAACGCCAAAGCCAAAAAACAGATGATTAAAAGTGTCTTTTTTGGCTGTGACAGAATGACAGTTTTGATTTTAGTCTATAAAGCAATTACGTGAATTTTTACACACAATAGGCACTTAAATTGCAAAACTGATATTTCAAAATGGAAATGGCAGATTTGAATATTTTTACATGTATATATTGTATAATAGATAATATTGCAAAAAAAGCTACTACAATAAAATAATTAGGTAAATTGGTCCAGTGACAGTCTTTGACATCTGCAATTTTTTTTATTTTGCTATATCACTTAGCTAATTTATTTGTGATTTGTCTCCTCAAGTGACTGTCGATTTGTGTCAACAGCATTTTTTTAAATGTATGGTTTTGAAAATATAAGGAAACCCACCTTGCAAAAGGAATGTAGGATAAGCTATACCTGTGAAATAAAAGGGATACAATTTAAACGGAGACAAATAAAAAATCGTAAGCTATATTTCCCTCTCTTATGTTTTATAGGAACTTTCAATAGACATAATGATTTTAATACTGTACAAGTATATTCTATCTTCTATCCCTAACTCATTCCTAACCTTAACCCTCACGAATAACTTGCATTTGTACAATTTCAATCCATCCATCCAGTGTGATTTATATGCTGCCTTCCTCATGGGGACCAAAAAATGTCCCCACAATATAAAAAAATTCCAACCTGATCTCACAGCAATTTGTACATATTCTAATTAGCATGTTTTGTGAAAAAACGTACGTATTTCATGAGGTGGAAAATTCATAGGAATTCATACAAATGACCACCCCTAACCCCGCCCCTAAACCTACCCCTCACAGAAAACGTACAAAATTGTATGAGCGAGGTCGTACGAATTAACCACCTCATAAAATATGTACAAATTGGTTGTGAGATATTGTTGAAAAATTCAGGTTTTACTATCCTTGTGGGGACATTTGGTCACCATAACACACACAGTCACACACACACACACACACAAAACTTAGCTCATAAATAAGATGTCATTACAATTTAATATGGAATAACAGCAGCATTCACTGCATTACTTGTATTTTTTTTTATTATAGCTACCAGAGCAGGGCTACTATTGCCCTATTTTTATAGCTTCTTGATAAGAATGTCTGTTAAATATCTTCAGTGTAGATACACTATACAAACATTGTCCATGTGTCAAAATCCCAACTGTTGCTGAAATAACTCTTCCATGCTCAGTTTCATGCGCTTTTGCATCTACAAGTTCTTGAAGACATCAATAAACAACATCTTTTTTGAGCTTCTCGTTCTGGGATTTAAAGGTTGATTTAACTCATATTGTATATTAAATTCATTTAACATGGATTAAAGGTGCTGTAGGAAACATGAGCCATTCTGGAACTTCTGCTAGACTTAGTGACTGTATTACACACATCCCCTCTTTCCAAACTCCACCCACTGAGACCACTGTAATCAGAGATGGAGCAAGAAAGAGGGCAGAAGAACATCATCTCAGTGCTGACAAAATCAATAGTAGCAAAATAGCATTCTGGCGCTTAAATTCAAAGATCCACTTCAACTCGCAGATTCCTGCTTCAAATATGTGGGCCCACTGAAAGCACAAATTAACTTCTGAAAGCTTTACAAAGCCCTGGGCCATCACAGAGACAGGTGTGAAATTTCAGGATGCCTATTACAGTGATATCTGTCAGGTAATAATGCCAGTCCATTAAAAAGAAAACATATCACTTACAGCACTGCATGGTTCAAAGTTGAAGGTTTTTTATTGTCTTATATCACTAGTGTTCTCACTTTCACTCATTCTTATATATACACATGTATGTTTGTGTGTATTTGTAAATATACTCCATATATACAATTACAACATTTATACAGTCATATATAAAATAACATAACTATGGCTGGTATCTTACCATGTAAAGGCCAAAAACTGGAGGATACAGAACAGCAGAGCAAGGCCTTTGTTCTTCCACTAAATACAAAAACAAAGAAATTAAAAAGATAAGGAAAGGAAACAATTACTTATCATAATAAACGTGCAAATTTACACACTGTTACATAACACATTATGACACCAATTTTATAAGCATAACAAAACAAAGTCATGCTAATTAAGAAGCCCACTTACCCAAAAAGCAGCACAGAATGTTAGCACCAGGCATGTCTTTAAAAACACAAATGTTTGATTTACAGAAAAAGGAAAAAGGCCAATTAGTGAATTATATGAAACACGGAATCTCTCTGTGCATTAGTCTATGATATCTGTATATGTATGTGTGCTCTCACAATCATAATGCCAGTTGCCAGAGCTCTCGTCTTGTCACACATCCTCTTGAGTTGCTTTAATGGACCCGTTAAGAACATTGTGCTGAAAACAATCCACACCCAAAAGATCTCAGGACTGACTAACAGATTCTCACAGATGCTACAAATCACACGGGTCAATCTGTGACATTTCATTTTTCTATTAATGTATTTATTCACAAATGCTTTCACATGCTGTAAATGTTAAACATTCACAGACAATGAGTTGAATATATTCATCTGTGGTGAACATGTTTTAAATCTCTAAAAGAATTTATTTTGATATATATTTGAGGGCATATTACATGAAAAGGCTGAAAAATGGGCATAATCTTTGATTATTATTTCTTCTTGTCATTTTGTTTTTACCTAGTTCTCATATGATTAGACAAAATTCTGGAGTATCAATGCGTTTTTATTTTTTGAGCCATTAAAACAGATTTGTGGTCTCTCAGACATAAAATGTTTAAGTTTTTAAATGTCAAATGGTATAACCCCAAGAAATCTTCATGATATTAAAAAATAAATGATACACACACACACTTCCTTTTTAATACAATTAAGAGGTTTACAATCACTCATTTATGTGATAAGGAAAATATTTGATTACTTTTCATTTTACTGTAAAAAAATGATTAAGAAATTGTGAATAAAACAAAGATTACTGCAGTACGTTTTACAAGAAAATACTATTTCAGTTTTCTACTTCATTTCATGTTCAACTCAATGTGTTATTTGCAGTTTCTTTGTAATTATTTGTGAACTTTACTAGCAATTTCTGAGTGAAATTTGTTTCTACATACTTTTTTTTTTCTTCAGTGTGCTTATATCAATTGACATTTAAAAGTCACTTAATTAATTTGTTTAAAAAGTGTTTTTCAACTCAAGCATCCGTATTTGTTACTGACCACATGCCAATGCAAACATGGTGTACCATTATAAACAATGTAGCAGCCAGTGACACACCTTGGGTGAAATAATATCAAAGATGACTCACCTTAAAAGAGAAGCAATATTACCTAAACTGTAAAAGACTGCAAAGAGTGTCAGTCCCTTTCTGGGCACCCAAAGCAAGCAGGTTCCCTGAATGATAAAGTAAGGAAAGAGTAGACGTTTGGCTATTGCATGTACAATAAAAATAAAAGGATATAAAACGATTCGTGGACTCGTCTTACCAAAACTGAGCACAAGACGCCAGCCACAAAACACGCGAGGAACGCCTTGACTCGCGTGCCCCATCCCAGTGTTGATGCTTCATTCGCCGCCTAAAACAGCGTTTATATATTCATGTTCACCATAAGAGAGTGAAATCAATTTGATATTCATAAACAGGCAGATATCAAGCTGTTGCTAATGACAGTCACGTAAGCACACGCACGCAACTAAACAAGTAGCAAAAGTCTAGATTCGAATTCAAAACGACACCTCATCACTCTGTAGACATAATTAGACTTAAAAACATTAATTCTAACTCAAGTGTAATGCAGTAGACTGTTAAACTCAACTAACTTACCTGCAGTACGTTGAGGTCGTCATTGCCATCTTGGCCGCTCAAAACTTTCTTTAATTTGTCCATAAAGGTTCAGGTTGATGGGCTTTTTAAAAACAATCCAAAAAAAGACGTCTCAAGTTGAAAATACTGGCTCGAAGCTACTTCGTTCAAGTAAATATGTATTGATTCGTTCCCTTTCCTGTTTGAAAGTGTAACAGGTGCATACGATAACTTCCGTGTGTAGCCACGGCAACGTACGCGACGTCATTACGCTCGACGTTCTGAATCGACACAATGGGGTATAGAACGTGTTTTGTTTGCTTACGTTGTTTAATCTTTAATACGCTCGCATTTTGTATTACATTCACACCGATGGTATAAAGTAGGTATCAAGATGTTTCTAGACGATCCATGTAGAAAATTTAACAAGAGAGGTGTAAAAAGTATTAAGAATGTACTTTTTTGTGGAATTGCATTGCCATTATTTTACTCCTTTAAACTTTAAGTATCTAAACATAACATAGGCTACTCAAGTGAAAGCTTAACTAGGTATTTACATAAAAGTAACTTAAACTGTGCAAAATAACCCCACAATAACTTGTTTAACCTCAATTGTCTCACTGTTATGCTTTATGTAAGGCTCTAAGACACATCAGATGTTAAATTAAAATTGTTATAGTGTAATTGCACATTATAGTTGTTTAAACTTCGTCACAGACATCATGCAATGACGTTTATAATGTAAATAAAACCTGCTGCTTTGGGTCAAAAAACTCAAGGACAAATATGATGACAACATTGAAATCGATTTTATTGGCTGTTTTCAATTAAAGTTTAGTAAACATCACAGGAATGTGATTTTGACTTGTTAGTTTGGTATGAATCACCATAATTCTTTGTCAGGATGATCAGTGAAATACTGTATGAACAAATTCCCCAAGTAGTACTTAAAGGGGTCATATGATGCTATTTTAAAGATCCTTATTTTGTGTATTTGGTGTAACAGAATATGTTGACATGCTTTAATGTTCAAAAAACACATTCTTTTTCAAATACTGTACATTATTGTAGGTCCTCTATGCCCCGCCTCCCTCGAACGCTTAGTTTTCAACAAAGCCCCCTCCTTTGACAAACCCAGTCTGCTCTGATTGGCCAGCTGACCCAATGCATTGTAAAAAAGCACATTTACTCAAATACACACCTGGTAAATGCAGGCCTACACTTTTGTTGATAGTAGTTACATGTTTTGAAAACAGAACATTGCGAGTAGGCCTACTTTGAATTACTAATATAGTGAGGTACATTTTTTAAATGTACAATTGTACAACTTCATACAACTTGTGCAGTTTGCTTAAATTTCTGCAGAAAAAAGGTATACACAGTAGAAAATAACATATTTTCTTAATATGTAAATATGATTTAAAAAAAAACTATTTTACACTTAGTGATGTTAAAATCATTTAGCCTATGTACAAAGAAATGCTCTACCAATCTGTTTCTCTGAATAACAAAATCTGATTAGTCATATGACCACCTTTTTTGTAGCTGGTTCTTTATCCATTGTCAGTTATCCCCCATCATGTCTGATGTTTTGGTTAGCCATCTGATGTCCAAGGTAGTTTGAATGGGAGCTGGCTGGAAGAGCTCAGGGCACTATTACTCTGGTAGATGTCCAGTACAGGGGCTCTGGCATGGCAACATGCTTTTGACACGTGGGACAGGTCTGCTTGGTCCACAACCATTCCTCTATGCACTACACCAGAGGAGCACGATATTTAGTTACATTCAGCTGTTTTGTACAGTGCTTTCATCAACACATTCTAAAGCAGCTTTACAAAGGACAGTATCTCAATACCCCAGTGAACATGACACAGGGGACAATGGCAAGTATGAAACTCCCTAAGATGGTTATGGAGAGTGAGGAAGAACTCTCAAGAGAAAACAAATGCTCAGAAGCTAGAAAATAGCTCATCTGAAAAGTCCAGGTTTTTGGGCCATTTATATTTGGCAATATTTGATTTCTGAAGTTGAATTTGATCATTTACAATATCCTGGCAACTAGTTTCTAAAGTCTGAACCTTTACCTCACTGTGGAAGCTGTGGGAACAGTGAAGCTCTCTGATAACTCCTCCTCCTTTGCGTAGGTCGTCATGGCAGATCAGACACAAACTGTTTGCATCACTCTACAAAACAAACACCACATTATATCAACCAAATAAATTAGTTTCACCCCACATTATATTTGATCAACATTACAAAAATGCAATTCCATTTCTCAGTTTTCTGTGAAGTAGCCATTGAAATAAAGTGATAGTTCTCCCAAAAATGAACAGCACTGGAGTCCACTGAATGTCATCAAATATCTTTTGTGTAAAAAACAAAAACAAATGATTTTTTTTTCTTTTTTAGATAAATTAAACCGAATAAAATGAATGCATGAATGAATAAAAATAAAAAAAATGGGAAAATAAAAGGGGAATTGCAAGTTTTAATATCACAATTCAGACATTTTTTCCTCACAGTTCTGAATTGTGAGATATATACTAAAAAAATGCAAGATAAAAATGTAGATTTGCAAGACATAAACTTGCAATTCCCGAAAAATAAGTTCAGAATTTTGAGTTATATCTCACAATTTGGACTTTGAAAAGTATTTTTATAAAGTTATTATTCCATGGAGGAAAAAAAAAAATAGAATTACAAGATATGAGATATAAAGTCAGAATTGTGATATAGAAAGTTGAAATTAATTTTGGAAACAGGCTGCTTCCATACAATAGAATGTGAATGTGAATAAGAATTCATACTTAAGTGAAAGTAGGCCTATAATTGCTTTGCAAATATATTACTAAGTCAAAACTCTAAGTATCTAAACAAAACATTCAAACATACTTGATTGAAAGTAAAAAAAAAAAAAGTTGCATAAAAACCTGTTAAAAATTGGTTATATGTTTCTCAACAGGTTGTTTGCTGCTTGTTTTTAGCTTTGTTCATTTAGTTTTAAGCTTCAGGATATAACATATCTCATAGTTCCACTGATATAGCCTCAGATTTCTCCAGCCTTGCCAAAGCATTGTATCATAACAATAAAATGATCTTATCTTATATTTAAATATCTAAATGCTCTTGTGATTGCATAACCTATTGGTAATCATTCATATTTTTACACATTAAAAAGCAAAATCATATCACACCAACCAGAGACATGACATTGCGGCTCCTAAACCGAGCTTTTCTCTCCAGATGCTCGTGCAGCTCAGGGATGGTTGGGATGGCATGTGGGCGTCGTTCACGTGCGCTGCTCTTGGTGTGAGCTCCCTCCTCGCTATTGGTAACATGGCTGGAGCGAGAGCACGGCCTCGCCTCACCGCTCTGAAGCCAGTGGCTCAGATACGCCGGGCTAGGGCTCGTGGTGGCAGCGTGCAGACGGCTCAGATGCATCGCATTCAGCTGAGCCTGAAAAATGTGCATGCATGCATAAAACTAAGGAAGAGGCACATACAATTTGTTTTCATTATTAAGGAAGATACTACAGTATAAAAGCATTAGTGAAAAGTTTAATTGAAATTAAAAAATTTTTTTAAACATTAAAGAACATAAAACAGTATATTTGGAAGAAATTGCTCAGTTTTTTTTATTTTTGATTTACACAAATTTCAGCCAATGGGCTCCAATGTTGTTTTATTTGCAACAATATTGCAAACATGACAATTTAACAATTATAAAAAATGGCAAGTAATGCACTGAATTCAACATGAAATTTTGAAGTGGGTCTGTAATAGTATTTTCTTGTTCAATGTACTCAAATAATCTTTGTTTTATTTGCAACTTCGAAAAATGCTTACCAAATCTGATAATATAATTTAATAATTAAGAATAATGATAGAATTTCTTTTTTTTTTTGGAAAGAGTATCTCTTTAATGGCAGCAGTGCTTTGTATCAATTCTCACATTGATACAAAAAGCATTGATACAAAAGCATTGATACAAAAGCATAAAATGTATATGCTTTGTATCATTCTCAAAGCATTTTATATGATGAGCTCACGTGGAATACAAATGCAGAATACGTACTTCTTATTACTTTTTAAATCAAATTAAATATTTTAAAAAGTTCCAACTTCACTGGCATTTTTGATGCAGACACAGCACAAATAGAAACCCTATTATCAAAATGTCTAACTTCATTTTAATCAGTTTTGTCCAAACAGTGAAAGGTAATTTCAGGATAAACTGCTCTTAAGAGTTTGGATTACGCAACAGTGTCCTGCATTGATCTCTGATATCACTAACCTGTAAATCAAAGTGAAAATTAAAATGCACATTTTGATTCACAGCCTAAATTATCAGTTTTTCTGTACGAAATGTGACATAATAATACAAATTTAGGAGAATTGGTCTTCATTACTGTAGAGCAAACTGTTCATTTATGAGCTACATCATGTTTTTCTTTTACAGAAGAATATTTTTTTAACAAATCAGTGGTATTAAAATAATTATAGCTTCAGTCCTGTGAACTAAAAAAAACAGAAATAAAAATGCATGTAATTCATATATTCATGTAATTCATATAATTGAGTTGAGATGGTCTGAATACTTGCAAGGCAAGTAAGAAAACGTCATAAAAAGTGACACTGCAACACTTTATAAAGTGCTTTAAAACATTTTTACATTCATATACATACAATTTTCATATGCATGCACACTGTAAAAACTGATTATTGGAGTATGTTTTACAAGAAAATACAATATCAGTCTTTCTACATCAAAATTTAACGGATAATTCAATGTGTTACTTGCTGTTTCTTTGTACTTAATTGTGAAATGACAGTAACTAGCTATTCCTGAGTGAAAATTGTTTCAGCGGTCATTTTTTTTTAGTGCGCAAGGATGATACATAGTTATAGAATATAATCTAGAGTTAAAGCAGCACTATGTAACTTTTTCTGTGTTCAAAATTTGCAAAATGTATATAATGAGCGAGTACATCATGAATTCATCTTCCAAACCGCGTTTTTGTCTTATTCCGAATCACTACGGTACACTTATAATAAGTACTTATATTTGGACTATTGTAGCCTGGTCGGGTCGTCGCCGCTGCGGAGTAACACATACCTGCGTGAATCGCCATAGACGTAAACTTAGAGAAGTAGCTCCGGTTGGAATGTTCTTCCGCGGGATGTGTGCAGTTCTGTTTATTAACCGCTAGAGCGCCAAAAGTTACATAGTGCTGCTTTAAAATAAAAATACAAAATTAACTAAGAAGGTAAGAGAATTAAATTGCTTTAGGAAAAGCCCTATTAAGCAAGTGTGCTCTGAGATACTATTTAAAAAGTGTTAATTGAATAAGCTGCTGGTTGGCTGTCTGGAAGAGAAATCCAGAGCTAGGCACCATAACAACTGGTGTTTCTGCTCCCATTTAAAAGCCTGTATGCCATACAAGCTACACACACACACACACACACAAACTTATACTGGGTACTAACCGGACATGGAAGTGAAGCTCTGCGACTGGCCAATGATCGACTTGGAATTGGGACATCCCAACTGCTCTTCCTCTCAGCCTCTGGCTCCTCTTCCTCTTGTTCTTCTTCCTCCTGCTCCTCCACATCTTCCTGCCCTTCATATCCTCCCTGAAATGTGGTAAAGATTTCATCTTCCTCTTCCTCGTTCTCCATGTTAAACAACCGTAGCTGTCTCAAGGCTTTGAGACGAATACCTCTGAAAGAGAAACGGCGAGGAGGAGCAGCGGCTTGAGGCTTGGATTGCTAAATAAGCCTCTGTAATTAGATCCCCTGGTTTTCTTATCCCATCTGTTTCCTCTAGAACTCTAAGCTTCATAGAGACGACACAGGGACCGATGCATGCTCCTTTAACTCCTCAATAATCTGTTTAGGAGAGAGGTGGGGACTTGGAAGAGGATTCTCAAAGCTCTCTGGAAGAATCCCACTCCAGATCTGTTCAGAATGTGCTAAATACTTTGGATACTGCATGTAGAGCACACTAATACAATGCATTCTCGGAAAAAAAAATAAATAAAATCAGCAAAATTATATCCAGGTTGGTAACTCTGGTATGAAACAAATGTTGCCAAAGAAACATATTTGGTTTTTGTCTTCAGATTAATGAGACGTTAAAATAAAAAAATAAACTTCCTTAAAGAATTTCAGAAAATTCTTTGTGGTTATTTTCAGATTTAAAAAAAACATGCATAAAAGTAAGACCCATGTTTACTTACCTCATACAACCTACACAAACACACACAAACTGAGTGTGAAAGGCATCAGTGAACTGGATTATCATTTAAGTAGATACTATAAATGTTAAGCACCTTAGAGAGTGCACTCAAAGGAGCGTCTAAAATTGGACCCCACAGATACATGTTACCCACATGGACTGAAAGCCAAACAGAGTGAACATCATCAACAATAGATGAAGTCATGACAGGACATTAGACGTTACTAAAATTAAGTGTGACTCATTGGACAGGTAATGCTATAATCTATTGAGCCACTTAGTCTTTGATTATATCAATCTGCCCTTTTGACAAATATCCGAGCGTCTAAAATTGGACCTCACAGATACATGTTACCCACATGGACTGAAAGCCAAACAGAGTGAACATCATCAATAGATGAAGTCATGACAGGACATTAGACGTTACTAAAATTAAGTGTGACTCATTGGACAGGTAATGCTATAATCTATTGAGCCACTTAGTCTTTGATTATATCAATCTGCCCTTTTGACAAATATCCAAGAACAATCAGGAAAGAAGTTTAGTTTTTGGCATTTCAGTAGTTTGATGTAACTGTAAAGTTGCAAGTAACATTATTTTGTTCAAACCTAAATATGGATTGCCTGTAGATGGCAGCATTGCACAAAACATTGTTTCCTCACAGTTTAGGGACTGTCATAAAAGACTAAAAAAATAGCAATATGTAAACATCAAAAACAACAAGGCTTCCGTTAAAAAGATACACTGTAAGAAAGATGCTGCATCTGTATGTAATGTTTATGGCCGATTTAAAGATCAAGTCTCTTTTTTAAGAGTGTTTGATTGAGTCCAATAACCAGCTGGGTGAATTCATTGCTGAAAGCCCCCACAAAATCTGCACAGATGATGTTGACACATGATTTGCCCGGGCCTGGACGCTGTTGTTTGACCCAGTTCAAAAGCAGACTATAGGAGCTCAAGGTCATGCTTTGTAATGACTGGCACGGATGAGAAAGAACATACTTGGCATCCTCAGTCAGGTTCAGACCAGCAGCAAAAAAGTGACCTGAAAACAAATTCAGGGCAATTATTTAGGGAAAACAAGCTTTAATGAAAGATATTTTCTTTCCTTCCTACCGGCTTCTTCTTCTGAGACAACATTTCTAACTCCTCCTTTAGGCTACAACCATCAAACTCAGGACAGACCTTCAGACTGTACTGACTTGGTATGCTATATTTTCTAACTGATCATACATACGATTTTCAAAAACCAGATGATCAAAACTATGAAGAATCCCAGAGACTTTAATTGAGAGGACAAAACTTTCACACATTAAATCTACATTCAACAATTTAATCAAAGATCAGTCTAATATCTATCTAAATCATACTAGCAACATGCTAAAACATGTTAAATCATGCTAGAAACATGCTAAAGCATGCAGTGTTGTAATAATGCTAGAAACATGCTAAAGCATGCAGTGTTGTAATAATGCTAGAAACATGCTATAAATGTTCAATAATGCTAGAAACTTGCTAGAAAGTTTTAAATAATGCTAGCAACATGACAGCAATGTGCTAAAGCTTGTAAATGACAGCTTGTTGCTAGCAATGAATGTTTCTAAATCATGTTAGAAATATTCTAACGTGTTAAATCATGATAGAAACATGTTAGTAATGTGCTAATTTATGCTAGGAAAGTTCTAAATCATGCTAGCACATTTTCAAACATATTAATGTGTTAAATCATGGTAGTAACATGTCAAGTCATGCTAGTAACTTGCTAACAATGTGCTACATCATGCTTGAACCATGTTAGCAGTAATGTACTAAATTTAGCTAGCAACATGCTATATCATGCTAGTAAGATGCTAAAACTTGTTTGCAACATTTTATTGACTTTCTCAGAGAAAAATCCTCAAACTTCAAACCTTGCAAAATTGTTTCAAACTTTCAAACAAGGCTTTGTCAAGCCAACATCAAAGTTTGTCATCTAACTTTATCTATCTTGTTTTGTAGCCTAATTATTACCGACCTGGTCTTCCTTCTGTTTTTCTCTCCTCCAGGTAGGATATGACATGTTTTGGATCTGATGTATTTGCCCACCAATATTCACACTGTGGCCACAATTCCTCATATTCAGACGCAGATGAGTCATCATATGACAGAATAACCTGATAATTGTGATTCCAACACTGCAGTAGTGAGGGTATGATCTGAAAAAAAAAAATAATAATAGAGAGATTACTGAGATATACACTGCATCCGAAAATGCCTACTATATATAGTATGTGAGAAACAGTACATGAAAAAAGTAGTATCAGAATCAGAATGAGCCTTATTGCCAGGTATGTTTACACATACGAGGAATTTGTTTTCATGACAGAAGCTTCCACAGTGTAACAGAATGACAGTGACAGAACAAAAACACACAGATAATAAAAATAAAAAATAAAAAATAAAAAAATAGAACAAGTAAAATAAGGAATAAAAAAGGTAGCTGAGCTGAACCAGACAGTTATAGAAGTGCAGAGGATGGATGACATAGAAGGTGAAAAGTACCCGGATAACCAGCTACTTGCACTGAGATTCTGAAGTGTGCATTTGATTGACACTTTAATATCCCATGAGGCAACAGGAGATGATTTGTGAATGGCAGTGAAGTAACACAATTGATGCTGGTTGATCACATGACAGTAACAACATGGTGGATGTAGTATGTCCAAATTCCATTCATATGACATTTTTTAATGGTCATAAAGTAATTTTCAAACCAAAACATTGCACCTACTAGACAGTACGTAATTTTAGATGCAGATATAGTGTCTAAAAAGGTATTGTGGCCATGAATTAAGAATTTGTTCCAATGTTTAATGTAAATCGTTGTCACGATTTTACAAAATTAAACCAAGGGCACACATTAGTACATTATGGACACAATTTAAATAAAATAAGTAAAAAAAAATTAAAAAGGTAGCCATGAATTAATAATTTGTGGGAATTAAATCTTAATTAGTGGTCACAGTATCTATTTTTGTCCAGAATTTTATATGCAGTGCTCTGTACCATTCAGAATTTTTTGTTACATTTATGTTACATAAAGTAATGACAAGACATACATCAAGATTCAAGGTATTTCATAAAATTTGCATATGGAAATACATGGAAATTACTTACATGATTGGGACAAATTTTATTGTCAAATGTGCTTATGAGGAATTGAATGAGGTCTCTGTGTTGATCCAGGTTCATGCCATCAAAGGCAGAAAGTGCAATAATGACCACTTCCTTGGTGTGCTGATCTAACCAGCGAGCAACTTCTGTGAGCACTTCCTTAAAATAACAAAACCAGAACACAACCAATGTTATTCTCGACTTGGAATGAGGAATTAACATTCTTCTAAAATTCCGATCAACCATACCTTCACTGTCAGAAGGGAGTAGATCCCATGTGCAAAGTAGAAAACTTTATCAGGGTCTTTTATCTTATGAGCTATTCTTAAATCGAGAAACCGAATGCCTAAATCCAGCTGGTTAGAGATGCTATCTTCCTGGATAAGAAAGAAAAAAATAAGCCATGTAAAATGCTGTATGTCATCAACACCCATCCTTTTGTCATAATTTGTCCACACTTAAGTAGATATAAACCTACATGACTTCTGTGAAACACCAAAGGAGGCAAAATTACTCAGTCACCATTCAAGGGACAGTTCACCCAAAAATTTTAATTCTGTCATAATTTACTCACCCTCAAGTTGTTTCAAACCTGTATAAGTTTCTTTCTTCTGCTGAACACAAAAGAGGATATTTTGAAGAATGTGTGTTCCCAAACAACTGACGGTAACCACTGACTTCCATAGTATTTTTTTCCCCCATACTATGGAAGTCAATGGCTACCGTCAACTGTTTTGTTCCTCAGAATATCTTCTTTTGTTTTCAACAGAAGAAAGAAACTCATACAGATGTAGTACAACCTAAAGGTGAGTAAATGATGACAGAATTTTCATTTTCGGGTGATATATCCCTTGATTTACTTTTGTCATATGCAATGAAAGAGCAATGAAGGTGACTGAGGCTGTTAGTCAATGATGACGCTCTGAAGAAATCAATCATACAACTTTAGAACAACAAAATATCACATCTTCGTCTGTACCTGTGTTGTCGCCCATTTGATTATACAGGGCCGAACGATACAAGGAAACCAGGTGTCTAACACTTGCAGCAAACTCGGCGAAGACTTCAGTACTGAGGACCGTTCATCTAAACAGTAAGTCATGGTGTCATGACTTCCTGAAAAACAGTAAAACAGATGCTGAAATTATTAAGCAGTAAAAAATGTCAATAAATTGCGAAACAGAATTAAAATATGGAAATAATCAAACGTAGCTGACGTACCGGGTATAGCGAGATTCCACAGCGGTATGTCCCAAAAACCCGAGGGCATCTCGGACATCCAGTCCGAACAACAGCTGGAGATGCATAATCTTTCTTCATCCTCCATTTGTTACGTTTTCTATGAACAATTAACCTAAACACTTGTATTACTCACAGTACTACCAACATCATTTAGCTACTGCACATCGGCCGCTGAAACAAAAAGAACCATTGTTTCCGCGTTTTTCTTCATGCGATGCCAGACAGAAACGCCTTGTTAAATGATGTACAGAAGTGCACTGAGTGTTTGACGAGATCATTATAACCGTGAAATATGAATTTGTTAGAATTTGGAAGATTTTCTATGAGCATGTCGATCTCGTGACACTTTTCGTTTCTTGAACCTGGAAGGCAACAATGTTAGGGACCGTCTAAAAGTGCGATTTGTTTCCGTTTTGTTGAAGAGACCCAAAACAACAACACTGGCTCACATTTGAATTTTGTATTATTTATGTGAGAATTTTACTTTGGTTATTTGTTTAATATGTTAAATATTCAAATTTTGCCGTAACCAACCATAGATTCCCCTATATATACTAGCCTTGTCATCAAAAACGAATAAAAAAAATACAGAAAGATTCTTAAAGCTTCTTATACTGTTTGAAGGAGATCTCATGCTGACTCAGAATACCCTCTTCATGAACCATTGTCAGCATTGTTGAGCTGAATGATATCCTGAGCAAAGCTATTCACTCCAACAAAATCTCCAGCAATGATGTTGACACTTTCTTTGTCAGAGCCTGGACGTTGCTCCTTCACCCAGTCAAGCAACAGAGGGTAGGCCGTCATGGTCTTCTCTTTTAAAGACTTTGTGAGGTACAGGAGCATGTCATTCCCATCAAAAGTCAGGTTGAGACCAGCAACAAACAATCCCTCTGTTGGCCAAATGGACACAAAGAGCAAGGGATAAAACGTTTTTTTTTCCTTGGAGCATTTTGTTTAAACCAATCAGACTTCAGTAAATGTAAGGTATTTTAAGCTATTGGCATCTCTTAGCTCACCTGGTCTTCTCTTTTGTTTCTGGTTATTAAGGTATGAAAATGACCTCCTTGGGGTCCGAATTATCGGCCCACCAGTACTCGATTTGAGGCCACAAAACAGGATCGTCGACACTTCTGTTGTCATAAGAGAGGATGACCTGGTAGCCACTTTCCCAGCAGTCCTTGAGCGAGGGCTTCACATAAATTGGAAAAAAAAAGTTTTAATGATTATTAAATCATTGTTGGAACTATTTGCATAATATGCTGAGGTCCCTGAATGAATTATTTCCCTCAGTTTTTGATGATATGGCTTTGAGGTCATGGCAAATGGTATGTACCACTTGAGGCTTAGGACAGAGTTTTGTTTTGAAGTGCTCTTTGAGGAAGTTGGTCAGGTCGGTGTGTTGATCGGCTTACATTTCTTTGAAATGCGAGAAAGCAATTTCTCGCAAACCTCCTTAGTATGCTGGCCTAACCATTTCTCCAGTCCTGTCATTCCCTCCTGTGGTGATTCAAGGTTAGCTGTCATTACAGTTTTCCCATTAAGCTGTTGAATGCAATTAATGTAAAAAGAATAACATGAAAATTAATCAGGGTAATAACCTTCACAGTCATTGTTGTGTATAGTCCATGATAGAAGAATAAATCACTTTGTTCAGGCTTCCCAGCAACCCTCAGATCAAAGTATCGCAAACCCGCATCAAGCTGCTCCGAGATGTTTTTTTCCCTAGACAATCACTTGAAAACATGAACTTACACTGGCTCCTGACATTTTTTGTGATATTACTGTATTTTAATAGGTACTTTACCTGGGCAGTACCCCATTTTTTGACAATGAGCCTTAAGAAAGTACTGAACATCTTGTCTAAGGCCTTTATTTTTTTAGGTTCCAGTACTGAAGAGTTCGTATCCAAGCTGTATGCCATAGCGTCATGGCTCCCTAAAAGAAAAGTCTGTTCTGTTTCAGTTTTTGGCTCTCTTCAAGTCACACAGCATCCTATGTTCACTTCATGTTTGTTGTATGTGATGATACGCTAATATAATGTAAGTTTGATGGATGGATTTTGATATGTAAGTCACTTTGAATAACTATATAAATGCTAATGAATTAATCTATTAGCTTTAAGTTGGAAGATGGTTATTAATATCCGAGAGCTTTGAATAATAGTTTGACAGATGTTGTTAATATTCACATTACTTACCTTAAATAGCAAGTTGGCTCAAGGGGATTTTTGTGAATTTCTCATTAAGGTTAGACATCCAGTCAGCTGTTTCAGCCATTTTCTTGTTCTTATCCAATTTTTCAGTGGTACAAATGCCTAGGTAAAAAAGACGTTTTGTGGTTTACAGCTATCCAAGCAGACCATTTAGGTAAGTATTATCACATCATACCTTTTTCTGTCCTGTTTGTGCTTGACAATCACAGCATTCTGATTGCATTGTTTTTATATGTAGTATAGACAACACCGTCTGGTTGGGTCCATTATGAATCGCTCATCCATATTCAGTGCGTCCCTCCCAGGTTTTCTTTCAGTTCCTCTAGATTTTACGGCTGAGAAGAGAGAGGTCAACAAATTCACCTCAGTATAAAAACACAGACTCTCTACTGCCCTTTTTCCAGCAAATACAAGAATTTCCCAATAACATTTAGCGCCACTAAGACATTTATTCATTTATTTATTGAAAGAAGGCAATTTTTTTATTAGGCACATTAGTGACATTAAAAACGGCACCAAATTCTATATTCAAATAAAAATTACCCATCAGAAACCTGAAAAAAAGCATCACAGTTTCCACAAACATATTATGCAGCTGTTTTCAACATTGATAATAATAACAAACAATTTTTGAGTACCAAATCAGAATTAGAATGATTTCTGAAGGATCATATAACACTGAAGACTGAAAATGGAAGCTGAAAATTAATCTTTGCCAATAAATGACATAAAAAAAACAGTAACTGTAATAATAATATTACTGTTTTATATGCAACCTTTGCTGAACATAAGGCTCAAGAGTTTCCCCAAATTGTTTGTTTTCAATTTCTTTATAAAAACACCCATTCTGGCCCCTATAAATGTTATTTCTTTATTCAATCTAAAATGTTCCAAACAGTTTTATGATAATTTGCAGTTCTCGCCAACACAGCTAATTCACTTCCTTTGGCAGAGGTTATTTTAAACTGTTTGCAAACGTTGCCATTTTGTAGCATTGGCAAACAAACATAAGTCTGTACAGGGGAATGAATGAAAGTGAATTTGCAAAAGAACGTCAATGTATGACACCAAAGCACAACGGTTGTTTCTATGACCACACATATCACCAAAAATGTTAAGTCTTTATTTGCATCTGTTTTTTATTGTTTGTCTTATATATGTAGTACAAAAAGGCTGCCGATTATGTTACTGTTTGAGTGGACTAAACAAAATATATTTATTAGGAGGTGGAGCTTGTTTGAATTATTTATCCTCAAAAACCCCCATTTAAACTCTTGAAGTCTACAATTCCAGAGATCATTTAAATTCGAAACTTTTATCTTATTATTTCAGGTTATGCTGAAAGATTCACAAAAACAGCAAACCAACAAACAAAATGAATGAATCCATTCAACCTTTGCACCAAAACCTGTAGATTTACTTAGTATCCTTAAAGTCGACATGAAACCGATCCTATTCACCCCTCTTAATGCATGGTCTGAAATGACTTTTCAGCTGACGCCACAAATCCCACTTTCTTCTCAGCCTCTTCCTTCCAACCAGCATTCTGGCTTATTACAGCTACTTTTACAACCCAATCAATTCCCACTAAAATCAAGTCCTGTTCCACATTTTCTCACTGAAATCGTTTTACTCTGAAATACAGATTATCGATGTAAAATAGTTTGTGAGTGGTTTGTCATTTTGACTTGGAAGGGAAATTAAAAAAAAATGTCAATCATAATTACATACATTTTAAAATCATGGTTGTCTGACTCACTTCAGCAGCAGAGCCAAACCAACATCACATTTGTGGTTAATATACATTACAAGTTACCATAATGACCCAAAAACACATCACTTGAAATAATCTCCTAAAATGTGTGCAAAGTCACATATTGCTCTTTGTGTAGTTAATATAAATTAAATTAAATTAAAATTCATATTATTCCACATACAATTACATCTTTGATTTTAATCATGTAGACAAAATGCTTGTGTCCAATAATTGTAATAATAATTGTGTCTAATATTAGAAATGTAAATTACTAAATTATAAAATTAAATTATAGAAATGTCTAATATTATGGAAATGAAGGTAAGATTTTCTACCATTATATGAGGTGCGAGTATCACACATACTCTAACTGCATGATTAGAACGCTATTGTTGTATCGTGACTGCAAAATGATCATGACGCTTTTAATAACAATAATTTTTCCTTGGTTTTCATCCAGTGTATGAGAATGGTGGGATGCCCTTGACTCCTAAACCAGACACCTATGATAGGAATAAAGCATATAATTAATGTCATTATGTGTCGGAGTTGATGTCATGCTACTTTGAGCATGATATGAAATAAGATGTCTACCTTAAATGTGCAGCCAGCTTCAGGATGCTTGGCCAGTGAATCTGCATCCATGCCTGCATACGCTGAGGTGACATAGAGATCACTGTAGTCTTTCCCTCCGAAACAGCATGAAGTGGTTTTCTCAGCTGGTAGTTTCACTGTTTGCAGCCGTTTGCCTGAGAAGGGAAGTTCATTACTGTTCAACAACTGAAAGATTGGACTGATCTTTGATTTTCATTTAGACTTTCTATTTATATTCAACTGTCAGGGTTCTGGGGCCTGTTCTTCGTACGTCGCTTATTACATCCGAGATGAAATGTCACATCCAAGATGATATCATCACGCTAATCAGAATCTGGCTAATTCGGTTCTTTGAACGCACCTGTTGTTGATGATTAGTATGGCTGGATTGTGTTATCTGAGATAATTGCACGTTCACGGGTTGGTTTAAAAGGGGCTATGTATCGATACTCGAAACCACGATCAGCAATGCAACGATTGGCTGGTGGCAAGACAGCAACGTATAATTAAAAAAGACACCTGACGAAAAACTTGACAAATGTTTTGACTTTTATAGGGAAACAGCCAAACGAACAAAACTACATAAATGTTATAATAGATGAATGAAATGTGCACTGATTAGGTTCTACTCGTTACGTTGATGTGTTTTCTGCTGTCTCCAGTGTTTATGTACCCTGTGTTCCATGGATTACAGACGGTTTTGTTTATTCCTCGTCTCCATCGTTCCTCGCCATCACAGAGTGTGACATCAGCTCTATTTATATTCAGTTTCCCTAAAATCGGGAATAGAATACATTCTGACCATTTAACATATATAGAGTATCTCACAGAAGTGAGTACACCCCTCACATTTTTGTAAATATTTTATTATATCTTTTC